TGAAAACTTATGTGGAAAAAGTCTCTGAGTTAATTATAAAAGGCAAGCTGAGACTTCGTCAACTAGCAGGCATAGACCCAGCAGAAATTATAGTGCCTTTCACTGCTGATGAACTAAAGAAATTATGGGAAGATAATGAACCATGGCAAAGAGCTTGTGCTAATTTTTTGGGAGACATTAATAACAACTATCCAAAAAGCAAGCGGCTTAACTTCATAAAGAGAACTTCTTGGATTCTTCCTCGAATCGTCCGTGATGCTCCAATAACTGGAGCCCGTACATTCTATACTGATGCCAATAAATCAGGGAAGGCAGGTTACAAATCAGAAGACTTGGATAAGGTGGAACAAAGTCCGTATACTTCTGTCCAGAAGGCGGAATTATATGCCATTCTTATGGTGCTAAGGGATTTTAAAGAACCTATTAATATAGTTACAGATTCACAATACGCAGAAAGAGTTATTTTACATATTGAAACTGCTGAATTTATACCTGATGATACTGAACTAACCTCATTGTTCCTCCAGGTTCAAGATTTGATCAGGAACAGGCTTTGCCCTATGTACATAACACACATCCGATCCCATACGGGTCTGCCAGGTCCTCTAGCACAAGGTAATGCAGAAATTGATCAATTATTGATTGGTAGTGTGCTACAAGCCTCTGAATTTCATAAAAAACATCATGTTAATAGCAAAGGTTTGAAGAAAGAGTTTTCAATTACATGGCAACAAGCTAAGGAGATTGTAAAGAAATGCCCTACTTGCTCTTTCTATAACCAAACGCCACTGCCTGCAGGGGCTAATCCAAAGGGCACCCAAAGGAATGAAATCTGGCAGATGGATGTGTTCCACTTTGCAGAATTTGGCAAATTAAAATATGTACACCACACCATAGACACGTATTCAGGTTTTCAATGGGCTACTGCCCTGAGCTCAGAAAAGGCTGATTCAGTAATCACACATTTATTGGAAGTTATGGCCATCATGGGTATACCTGCGCAAATAAAGACAGATAATGGTCCAGCATATGTATCTAAGAAAATGAAACGCTTTTTTGATTATTATAATATAAAACACATTACAGGTATACCAAATAATCCTACAGGTCAGGCAGTTATAGAAAGATCAAATCGTACTATAAAGGATATGCTGAACAAACAGAAAGGGACTGAAAATACCCCCAGAAATAGATTACATAATGCTTTACTAACCTTGAATTTTCTTAACGCTAATGAGAAAGGAACGACAGCAGCAGAAAGACATTGGATAATGGAAAAGTCTGCTGAACTAAATCAACCGATTTATTTCAAAGATGTGCTGACCTCTCAGTGGAAGCCAGGAGATGTGCTACGTTGGGGAAGGGGTTTTGCTCTTGTTTCCACAGGAGAAGAAAAATTGTGGATACCATCAAAATTAATAAAGTTTCGATTTGAAGAGGAGAAACCTCTTGGAAAGGAGAAATGACAACTCATCCACAACGATGATATTCATACAGGTGGTAAGAAAAACATATAGAATGGGGGCAGGGTTCTGTTCTTATCTCCACAGGAAAACACTCATCTTTGAGAAATTCAAGGGACCCTGGATGTTTGGATACTGACAGATGGAAAAATACCTGCCCAATAGGAAATATCAAGACAACTGAATGGGTTGTGTAAGTAATATTAAACCATATTTCTAAATTTATAAAGCTGGTTTTGAAGTTGGACTCTGGCTCAGTCCCTCTCCAATTCCAAGCCTGTTAGTAAGAGAAAAACCCAGAGTTTCTGGAGTTTCTGTCTCATGTCAAGAGCCATGATATGGGACAGAAAGAAATATGAGTTTAGAAAACATCTTTGCTTCTCTTCATATCTATCATACTTTTCATTGAATATATCTATCATGTCTTTCATTGAATATATATATATATGATTAATGTTTAAGTTTTTCATAATGAACAATGAGTTTTTCCTGAAGTGACATTTGAAGTTTCCAGGAAGAAGATGGGGCCCCATAACAACAACTCCACCTGGTTGATATGACGTCATGATACTGATAGCGCTACTACAAGACCTGCTTTTGGTACCAGCTGCACAAGACAGTTCCAACTTGGTTAGCTGAAATGGTGCACATCTTATACAACATTTTGGCCAGACCTGCACGAAAATACTCAGAGACTATTTGCAATTTTAAAAGACATTATCTTGAAATTTAAGCATCATTTTACTTTCACAGGATCCCCCAGAAAGAACGTCGCCCCTATGACAGCTGGAAGTAATTCTAGAGAACGACGTCCCCTCTCCCAGTAAAGTTTGCCCTTGGGTTTAGGGACATCATTTAGGGGTTGATTATAATTAGTATATGATTGAGGGTTGGGAGAGGAATTTTATAAGCTCAAGGATCATTTTGAAAAAAAAAAAGAGGGAATGATGGGATAATAGATTTATAATTGTGAGTTACTGCTTTTAGACAAATATATTGGTATCAATTCTTGTATAATGAAACAAAGTTAAATTATATGGACTATTGTACGCATGCATGTTTCTACCTCTGTTTAAAACATTTTTATGTATTGACATATATTGTATTGATATATATATATTGTATATATTTACCATATTGCAGTGTACATTTCTACCTCTGATTAAGATACTTATATAATATTTGTGTATTGATATATATTTACCTACTGCAATGTATATTTGTACATTGTTTATATTTGGAGGTCATTGTCCTCATTTGTTTCACAGTCGTTTATTGTCTTAGTCTTTAAGTTAGATAGATATTGAGAATTATATAGACTAATTGTCATCTAGGTTTGTCATTTATAATTAGACTAATCAGGTTCTTTAGATATATAGAGATTATACTCAGTATAGATAGATAATCTTCAACCTCTTCAAAGAGCTGTAGAATATGGCCTTTAATCTAACTCAGAGTTTCGTGATAGTGAGACACAATTGCTCCTGGCAACACCGCTCTATTCCCGAGAGAATGTTGAGCACCAAAAACACTCCACCTGGAGCCTTTCTATTTTGGCAGAACTGGCCTTTGGGCAAAGAAATGCCCATACCTCAACCACTGACACAGATACAGAGCGTGCATCAATGGATAAAACAGGACTGTCATATCCTGCCAAGACAGGGTAAGATAGTTTTGAAAAGTTCCTTGCCTTTAATAATGGTATGTCAGTTATGTTAGGCCTTAGCCAAAATTGGTTGACTCAACGTTGAAAACGAGACTTTGGGTGATTGCCCAGGTAGTCAGTTGTCTCTGTCAATTGTTGCACATTTTGGATATATCTCGTTTGTTGAGTAGTGTTTATTCCCTTCTCAGATCTTTGACTGAGTTGAAGATTATATAATTGTAGTTACTCTTTACATTATTTGGACTCCTTGAGATAGAATGTTTAGCAAAGCTTTTGTTCTCAATATTGTTTGTTATATTTATTATTTGTTGTTATTGTATGTAGTTGTATTTGGTTTAGTTCTGTCTTATTTAGACAAAAAGGGGAGATGTAGGGATAAGTCCCGCCCCTTAGGGGGCGTGTTCGCCTCGGGCTAATGTCTGCCTATAAATTTGGCGAGCAAGCTCCGAGCGCTCGCTTCTGCTTTCCTGGTCTCCGCGGGAACGGTGGTTCTGTAAGTCTATTTCTACATTAAAGCTATATATATATTTTTACACTCTGTCTGCATTCATTTACGCCGTTACACAGGAGGTTGTGATAGGACCAGCAGCTTTCATCATGGTAAACCAGAAGTAAAAGAGAATACCTACACCCCAGCCTTCCTCCATTTCCTTTAATCCCATCTGGGCCCCCATCTTCATAGATGGTGCTTCCCACATTTCAAGTTGGTCTTTCCTGGCTCAGTTAATCCTCTCTGGAAAGACCCCAACAGACACTGAGAAAGTAATCTGTGTGTTTTTCATTCCAATCAAATTAATAATTCAGATTTACCATTACACCACTCAGACCAACCAGACACGCTGGATTCTGTGACTGATGGGTACATACAGTAGAGAGACAACCCCAATGAGAGCCAAAACATCATGGATTCTGTGAGTAATAGGTAGATACAGTAGACAGACAACCCCAATAAGTTCCTCAGACATCATGGATTCTATGACAGATGGGTAGATACAGTAGACAGACAACCCCAATGAGAGTCTCAGACATCCTAAATTCTGGGAGCGACGGGTAGATAAAGTAGACGGACAACCAGCAAGAGCCTCTTGACTGACTAGATTGCTTCCACTGAAGCCTGCAGTCCTACCTGGCAGTGTCTTCAAACAGGCTTGTCCAGTTCAACAGTCAGAGCCTAAGATTCTACAATCAGACCCAGTCCCTAGTACAATGAGTACATTACTCTTGTTCCCTGAGATTCCTATTTCATGCAAGGCCAAGTGAGCTGACCATGCACCAATCACATAAGCAGGCACGATGTAGGCTGATTCCAGCAGCTCAAAACTTTTCTACCAAAATTCTAACTGTAGGCATTAGTCTTAAACCTTCCAAATAGTACTAAAGTTACAAACTCTCAGGTTGGCCCTAGTAGACTCCCAGAGATAACACAGGTGCACCTCAAAGAATGGAAATTGAACATATAAGTACATTGCTCTTTAATAATCATTTCAAATAAAATAGCACATATTTTATTAAAATTACAGTAGAAACCGGTCCCATGAAAAATTGTGATGAAGGTAACATTTTACTATAAAAATATTTTTGTCCTTTATATTCAACCTCTGATTCCAAGGATGCCAGCTTAAGACGTCATTTGATGTGTCTCACAGAACGCCAAATACCTTTGTTAGTTGCCCTACTGCCTGAAACTCCCCTGGAGAAGCTGAACCTTCCCCCAGGGAACACTAGACATTTCCACAAGCACAGGACATGAAGGCTCCTATGTGGAGACCAGATAACCAGGGAGCAAGCCGTGAGCTGCCCAGAGCTCGGGAGACAGACATGTAAGGTCATCCCACATCACGAAGAAAAGCAGAGATTAAAAAGGCACTCACCATTGGCTTGTGGTTGGGGAAAAATGTTTGCTCCACGAGTGGAAACTTCTCAGGACCCAAAGAATGGAAGATCTTAATGAGCTGAGAGAACTGGGAGAGAAAAGGAGAGCTCATTCATTACCCAGTCAGGGTTTCCCCTCAATCCTGACCTTCAAGCATTTGTCCTGGGCTGAGTTCTAGAAGCTGTTGCTCACCGCTAGGATAAAAAGCCAACTTCCTTGGCTGGGTGTCACCCCCTCTTTTCCCCCTTGTGCCTGCCCCTGAGCTGGGAGGTAGGCAGGTCACTGGCTTCACAGTTCAACTACATTTTACGAGCACTTAACTGCAAGCTTGACCATTTCACACAAGGTCCTTGTCCCCAGCACAACCTGTTGGGGGTTCTGCCATCCTCTGCCTGCAATGCCTGTATTTCAAGGATAGCACTGTAGGTATTTCATGATAGTCACTCACTCTGAGTCTAGACACTCTCATTCAGATTTTTACTGTTACTAGCTCTGAGACCTGGAGGGGCAGGTTCAGAAACCCGTTTCCTAAATTGTAAATGGAGAATATATATAAAAAAATCTCACTCACTGGATTGCTAGGACACTACTGCCTAGTTCATGGGGGTGATTAATGTTTTTGCTTTTACAACTCTATGTATTCTGAACACGCAGACAGATCCCCACTGTGTATCACTTATTTCTTACTTCCTAATTGGTCCTCATATTAGCTTGTGCTTCCAGAGTGAGGGTCAGACCCAGTGGTCATCACACAGTGCCATGCAGAGCTCACGTGGCATCTGGCATTATGTATGATGATTAGGACAACACTCCAAGTCTGCCAGGCCAAGTCTAGTGGAAGACAGGCAATGCTACAAGATTGAGATGCTAAGGTGTTGCTGATGGGGAATTTGGGACATAGAGGAGAACATGGGTTATCAGGAAGGCTTGTTGTACCTATCCTGTAAGAGGAAGAAGGGTACTCCATGTGTTGAAGGAGATGACTGTCTTTGAAGGTCTTCAATGGCTTCCATGGCTGTGGCCTCAGGTGCAGGGGGATGGTGAGGAAGCAGGCAAAGGGTGGTCTATCACAGGTCATCATGAGCTTTAAGAGGCTAGGCTAGGATCTTACTCAGAAGGCCAAGGAGAATTACAGGTGGATATCAGAAGGACAACTTGGACTTTGCAAACACAGGTACATGGTGGCTAGAAGAAGAGCCATATTCTGTGCCAGGAAAATGCCAGGATCTTAGACAAAGAAATAAGGAAGCTGGGGAAATGCCTGATTTATACTGGGCTTCTGTGCACTCTTGGGGAATAGCCCACACATGTAACACAGAACAGAGTCATTCCAAGACGGGCGGTGGTGGCGCACGCCTTTAATCCCAGCACTTGGGAGGCAGAGGCAGGCAGATCTCAGTGAGTTCGAGACCAGCCTGGTCTACAAGAGCTAGTTCCAGGACAGGCTCCAAAACCACAGAGAAATCCTGTCTTGAAAAAAAAAAAAAAAGAAAGAAAGAAAAAAAAAAAAGGACAGAGTCATTCCAAAGGCTTGTAGAACTGTTCAGGGGTAGCCCTCATTTTATAGACAAAGACATTGGAGTTCAGAGAGGAGTATCACTCCATAGCTAAGCTGGTGGGTTTTGAAGAAGAGCTGGAGCACTTACTGCCAGCTACAAGGGCTTCAGCTTCCTTTTTTGTACAGTGGGGATATCTGGGATGTGGGTATTGGGGTTGAGCACACGACATAGTGAGTGCTAATGAAGTTGCTGCTTTCAAAACCATGGCCTGTTTCCTTCTCATGACACTCAAATCTTAGACCCCATGAGCCAAAACCCTTAGCTATGACACAAAGAGACCATGGCAGGATGGCAGCAGCCAAGACTATCCACACCTATTAAATTAATTGAGTAGTCATTCATTAAATCCTAAGAGCCATCCCAGCCTAGACTTAGTCCATGTGCAAGAGGCAAGAATTGCTGTACCATTTATTGTGAATATGCTGTATACCAGCTAACATTACAAACATTTTACATGCCCCCATGGAAAACCAGAAAAACCCTATTATCATCTTTTTTTTTTAAAAAAAAAATAAGGACACTAAGTTCAGAGAAGCTAATGCAAATTGTTGAAGGATACACACAAGTGGAGAAACTTGGCCTTGGTCAATCTATCTCAGTGCCCAGACTCTAATCAGTGCTTTTCACTCCAAGGTGATGGCAGACAGGTAGCCAAATGGGTGGACCACAGAACTGAGACATTTCATCACATTCTATCCACACCTCTGAGCCTCCTTCATGTTTCCCTGAGGTACGCACCATAGGACAGATGACACAGCTGTCATATTTGTTAACAGACTGTTTCACTAGAATGGTAGACTAAGGGGCGGGTACTCTGGTACCATCACTGTGTGGTTCTGCATAGCTTGTGTTAAGGGAGATAAATGACAGATAAAGGAATGGTGTCATTTAGGTCCAGAGCCATGTGTGGAGTAATAGAAGAGAGGAGGATGGGCATCTTAGGAAGATCCTTTTGTTTTTGTACAACACTTGAATGGAAACTTGAGTAAAACAATTGAAGGCTTGAGACTAGTGATCAATGGGGAGAAAGCAAATGTGGGAGTTGGAGAAAGAGGGTTTCAAAGTTCAGTTTTACCATTCACTAGTCTTAAGTTCCCAGAGAGTTCTGAAGTGAAGCCTTCTCCTCTGTAGGATAGAGCAATGGTGCCATCTTTAACTACAGTGATAGGGTGGGTACCCACAACAGTTTTCTGGTATTCAGTAAGTGTTTGATAACTTTGAAGAGCAACAATAGGAAAATTATATTAAGATGTTAAAAATAACAAGATATATTTGTTTGTTTGTTGTTTGCTTGAGTCAAGGTCTCCCATAGCCTGGGCTGGCCTAGAACTCTTGCTACGTAGCCAAGGATGACCTTGTCTGATCCTCCTGCCTCTGTCTCCTTAGTGCTGGGATTATAGGTACATCAACATATCTGGTTTACACAGCACTGGAAACTGAGCCCAGCCCTTTACCAACTGAGCTATATCCTCAGCAAGACTAATATTACTATTACATGATCCTGTATCATAATGTGTTATACATAATATTTTCCAGGCTGTAATTCCCAGAAGAGACCCGGGGTCAAGTTGTTTAAATAAAGATTCTTCTGCTTGCTGAGGGTCTGTAAATGGAGCCATTTACAGGCTAGGAGACTACCTCACGCTCCCCAGTTCCCTCCACGTAGGCTGTCTTTCACCTACCACCCAGGGCTTGCTGCAGAAGTTGTATACGGAGTAGAGAGAGTTGACAGCAGGAAGCCCTCCATACTGAAGGCCGATGACCAGGCTGCGGTAGTCCTCAGCCAGGGCCATGCTGTAGGCATGCTGTCGAACCAGGATGAAGTCCGGTTTGAAGGACCTGCCAAGAGAGGGACAACAGTTGTATTACACCACATGGCAATATAACCAAGGTTTGCTGGTTATAGCCCTGACCCTATGTGGTTGCTGTCCATAGGAGCTCTCAGCTGAGAGGGCAGGTAGGGCTGGTAATACCTCACAACTACCCAGCTGCAAACCAGATGAGCTGAAAAGAACAGATATTTTCTTGTGTTTGGGTTTTAGGTTGTTTCCTAGATTCCTATTTAATTTACAACAAAGAGAAACATGTCTCAAATAACTGAGCAACAGAATAAATTTTTTGCTAGGTTCTGAGCAACGTACAGGATACATGCACTCCCTTGGGTATTGGATGCTTCCGGCTCCTATTTCTCAGAGGTATATTCTAATACCCAGGAAGATGCATAATTGCTCAAAGTGACATGTTGCAGGCAATTGGCAGGGTTATGTCTATAGTTGTCAACTCTCTGGCAGCTTGACTTCTTCCTTGTAGATTTCCCAACAAACTGGCCTTGTGCATTCTAAGTAGTAACCCCTAGTAAGTGGCAAAGATCAAGGGTACACAGGTTCTTTGCTGGGTCCCTCTGGAGACAGGGTCCTGATGAATGCTTCCCAACAGAGTTGGGGGAGAGCTGGGATATGCTCCCCTCGCCCAACTTTACAGCAGGGAGGATTTGCAACTCTGAGAAATTAAGTCCCCAAACCACAAAGCTGGTGAGCAGGAGAGTTGCCTTTGAAGTCTGCCATTGGTTTAAGTCCTTTTGCTTTTTACCCCACACCCTGGCTCCTGGCAGATTTACAGTGTTTTAATCACACTGTCAAAGGCCAACTTATTTCTGTGCTCCTTATTTCTAAGACACATGAGAAACCTAGCCTCACAGTGGGCAGAGGGTGGACACTCAACACGGCTCCATTGATCTGTCTGTCTCAATTGGAGTCATACCCTTAACTTCACAAAAACTGTCTCTTTAAAATGATTTAAATATAAGTTAAAATAACTCTCAGATGGAAGGACTTGCTCCTGCCAAGGACAGACAAAAAGAATGTGCACAGTGCAGACTCATCTTGGGTCACGTTGACCTTGGTTCTCAACAGATACCCCAATGTCTGGCACCTCTAGGGCAGGTATGTGACAGGTAGGTGTGGTAGAGATACCTATGAACATCAGCCCCACCCCGTCAAAACAAATGCTAAGTGCTAACTTATCTCCACAGGTCACTTAAACCAGACTGTGGTATGTGTTCAAGTCTGACACGCGAAGTGTTTATGGGAATGGTCAGCCTTAGTGTAAGAAAGTTAGTTAGACTCTGAAGTGCTGGAGAGATGGCTTAGCAGCTAAGAGCCCTAGCTGCTCTTCCAGAAACCTGGGTTCAATTCCCAGCAACCACATGGCAGCTCACAATTGTCTGTACCTCCCGTTCCAGGGGAATCTGACACCCTCACACAGACATACGTGCAAGCAAAATATAAAAGCACATTTTAAAAAAGAATCTTAGAATAAGAGCAACTGAGATGGAGGAATGAAGGTGGATTTGATGGCAATCAGAAGCAATTGCATGAGAACCATTTTCTTCTTTTATATGATTTACCAAAAAAACCCATGGAATGTAAAAAGAAGTAAACAAATTGTTGGAGATCTTACAAAATGCAGAGAAAATTCCTAACAATCTTTATATATACATTTTGATTCAACTATGTATTTTACTATACACAGTGTGCACTCATACACATAATTGATTTCATGCTTTCTATCAGTTATGACTTTGAAATTTTCTACATAATACAATGACATGAACAGTTCCTCTATGAACAAAATACCTATAAAAACAAATTTCTTTCTTTTTCCTTTCTTCCGCCCTCTCCCCTCCTACAGCTCCTTCCTCATCATCTTCCCTTCTTTCCTTTTCCCTCTTGCTCCTCCTTTTCCTCTGTCCCCTTTTCTTCCCCCCTTCATCATTGCTGGGAATCATATTCAGGGCCTTGAACATCTAGGCAAGCACTCTGTTTTCTTCCTTTGGTAATTCCCTCACACTAGCCCTTAAGGACACCTCCCCACAACCACTTTCAAGCTTCATTTGCCCAGTTTCCATCTCAGGACATCTTTGCCAGTCCCTTGGGGCATTTTGTTTTGTTGTTGTTTTTTGTTTGTTTTTGTTTTTATTTGCAGTCCTGGGGACTAAATCCAGGACCTTGTGCCTGTTCTATTGAGCTATATCCCATTAATTTTATTTGTTGATTTATTTATTTGAGACATGATCTCACTAAGTTGCTCAGACCAGACTTGAACTCCCTCTGTAGCCTAGGCTTGCCTTGAACTTGTCTTCTTGCCTTAATCTCTCAAGTAGCTGGGATTACAGGCATGTAACAACCAGGCCTTGTAACACTGCAGTTATAAGAGTTTCAATCTGATGAGTGACATCCCCTAAAAGATACCCTGCATCTCTCTGTTGTTGGACTTTGATGTTTTTAATCAATCATTTGCTTTGTCATTTTTATATGTATCTGCTCACATCTATCCCCATAAAAAAAACTCTCCCCTTTATTCCCTTATAAGGCCTCTGCAGTAAGGATACTGCCTTTTCTCTATGAAGTGTGTTGATATTTTTTACTAGGTGTATCCTCTTAAGAAGGCACATGAATGTATTTACTTCACACTTCTATCCGCTATTGCCGCTTAGAGGGTCCAGACAGTTAGGCAGAACCTAACAGACTTCCTGACAGAGTGGTCTCCATTGTAGACAATGACAGTCTCAGTGTCATGTCAGGGATAAGGTTTCCTTGAGGGAGCAGTCAGCGATCACATGCTAATCATCCTCCTAGCTTCTCTAGCTGTGTGAAGAATTCATCACAGGGACAGAACCAGGAAAATACAGTCAAACCTCACCGCTTATGAAGAGAGTGGCCAGACCAGCCTCCAAGAACAGAATGGTGTTTTTAAGAAAAGACTTTATTTTTAATTATGTGTCTGTCGGGGGTGGTATGCAGACAAGTTGTGCATGTGGATACAGTGCGTACAGAGGCCAGAAGAGGGCACCAGTGACAGAGTGCCTAGGAAGAGCAGGGTTCACGATCAAATTCCCTCCCATTTGCAAACTGGATTACTGTGGACAGAACTGGTTTTAGATTAGGACCCGTGAAGAATGAATGAATGAATGAATGACCTTATCAGACTTCCTGGAGTTTCTGTCTGAGAACTGTAAGGTAAGGAAAGGGGTTGGTCTGCTAAGAAGTTAGCTGATGGAGACCACCTCTCTCTCTCTCTCTCTCTCTCTCTCTCTCTCTCTCTCTCTGTCTCTGTCTCTCTCCCCTATCCCTCAGGGTTCAAGTCCTGTGCCTTTTATGTCTGGGCAGGATGTCTGACAGTCAGTCCCATACAAATTTTCACTGGAGACTCTTTCTGGGTCCCTTCTTATTTTACCCTTAGACTTTAATATCAGGTCTTGGACCCAGGTATGGCTTGGAAGTGGATGTCAGTGCTCCAAGAAAACTGAGGATGACAGATAACTAAATGGTAAGGATAAAACAGATGGTACATTGATGAGGATTACCAGGGGCTTGAAGCAATGTCCAGAGGTAGGGAGCCCAAGGCTGAGTCACTCTGAACCACTGGAGAAGTGTCGTAATTCCTTCAACTATGTGAGTTCTTGCAGTAGCAAGAATGGATCCTGACAGGGCTTTGCCGGTGACCTCAGCTAACGAGCAGGGGCCTCATTTTTCTCAGCTGCTTCACTGAGACTGAGCAACTATCCCTTGTTCTTCAGCATCTAAGTTGGCAAAGGAGGAAGATCATGCTGACTTGAAGATCATGGCCTGGCCCATCACATCCATATCTGCTCCTAGCCAGGTCTGTGAAGGCTCCAGACATTCTGATCTCTGTACACACCAGCAGAGAAACTCCAGGTTTATTATGGACCGTCTCCACACTCCTTAGAACCTTCTCTACCCTGCATCTATACATGTAACTTGGTGCACAGTCTAGGGCACAGGGACCCAGGGAGCTGTAAACCAGCAAAACGTAGGAAGGGGAGCTGAGCATCAGGGCTGTCTGTATTCCTTAAGGCTCATCGTAACTCTATCTTGCTGCAAGTGTAAATCATAGAAAATGTGCATGCTGTACAGAGGGTGGGGATTGGACCCACCAGATGGGAGGACTTGAGAATTAACAACGCTTCCTGGGGACTGCAAAAAATTAGTCCAGGCCCAAAAGATATTAGGTGGCAGTCAACCAGAAATCTGGCAATGAACAGAAAACAGGATACTGCAGCCAGGCTGGTGGGGCCCACGGGGAAGCTGCCAGTTACATGTGCCAGTGGAGAAGGGACTTGGAGAAGCTGATGGGCAGCCTGCTCTCCTGGATCTCAGAGGTTATTAAAACACAGGCAGGGGCTGTTGGGGGAAGCAGGCTTACTGTATCTATTCTCTTAGTCTCTTCATCCTGGGCTCTTCTTTTTCTTTCATGTTAGAGAATGTCACTGGCTTCATTCTCTTCCTCCATCCTTTATCCTGGGGTTTCTACCTATCCTTGGATGAATCTCATCTCCCAAGAGCATGGAAGTACTGATCCCTGTTACCTGTGAAAGTGAGCTGATATGGAAATAGGGTGATTGTTGATAGCATTGAGCTAAGATGAGGTCTCACTGCAATGGAGTAGACCATAACCTAATGACTGTCTTTGTAAGAGGAATCTATTCATACACGGGAGAGAGAGAGAAACAGAGACAGAGACACAGAGAGAGACAGAGAAACACACACAGAGAGAGACAGAGGAAGAGAGACAGAGACAGAGACAAACAGAGAGAAAGAGACAGAAAGACACACACACACAAACACACACACACACACACACACACACACACACACAGAGAGAGAGAGAGAGAGAGAGAGAGAGAGAGAGAGAATAAGAACACCAGAACACCAATGATAAAGGAACCAAAGATGGCAATGATGCTCCATAATCCAGAACATGCCAAGACTGCTGACAACAAACAAAAGCTAGCAAGAGGCAAGAAAGGGTTCTCCCTG